CACTGGATGTTATGCACAAACAATGAATCATGGAACACTTCATCTAAAACTAATGATGTAATGTATGGGGATTAACATAAGAATAAAAAAAAATAAAATAAAGAGGAACTGAAAAAAAAATCCATTAACAACTATAATTGTTTTCCTTTTGGAAATAACCACCTATGTGAAGAGAACAAACATCACTGAACACTTGCTGAGCACTATTTTAAGGATATATCGTTACTGAAACATATTGGGTGTGGATTTTCATGTAACTGAAGAATCAGCAACCTGCAATTTAAGGAAATTGAATTTTTATTTATTATCATTTTTTATATCCATGACTGTGGTTCTCTTACCATCAATATCTTCATAAGAATCATATGAAGACTTTTTTGGAATCACTACAAAATCTGTCGCATCTAAGATAGGATTTTCTCCAAAAAAATCACCAGTCAGCGTGACTTCCACCTCCTGTTCTATCCGCTTCCTGGACTGACATTTTATGACAACTACAGGAGAGAAATATTTCCAGTTGAGATGGAAGAAAATAAATTATGTGATGAAAAATATCCTTTTGCATACTTTGACTTATTGTGTCTGGCATTAACACACACACACACACACACACACACACTTATGCAATATCTATATACAATGACACTTTGGAAACAAATAAGAATATTAAATAATATGTAAAAATAGCACGACAGAGATTAACCTGGAAGATATATACTAGATTACAGAAGATTATATTAGGATGTAAAATTTGATTCAGGAACTCACCTAGTCATATCAATAATTCAACTGGTGGTCAGGAACACGTGAATTTTTCAGCTATCTATATGTTCATTGTGGCAAATACCAAACTCTACCTACATAGTAATACTACAGCAAATACCTTCAAATAATTAAAAAAAATAAGTTCTGTAGCATTTATTTTGTAATAACACTTCAAAAATATTTCTTATTCTTTATTCACATGCACCTTAAAATTCATATTTAAATTATTTCAGTAAAATATTTTGATTTTCTTTTGTAAACTGTTTTTAAATTTATAAAATACACTAACGGTTAAAAATATAATTGTAATGAATTATTTAAAATTAATGTTAAATGTAATTATAATATTAATTTAATATACAGCATTAAAACTTTATATATATTTTTAAAGATTTATTTATTTATTTGAGAGAGAGAGAAAAAGGGAGAGAGAAAGCACAAGTCGGGAGAGGGGCAGAGGGAGAGAATCTTCAAGCAGACTCCCTGCTGAGCGGGGAGTCGATGCAGGACTGGAGCTCGATGCAGGGCTCGATCCCACAATCATGTCATGAGCCGAAACCAAGAATTGGATGCTCAATTGACTGAGCCACCCAGGC